ATAGTCAACTAGAACCCTGCTAAACTGTGGCTAAACTAGATGTCTGGCAAGCTAGACCCCTGGTAGACTAAACCTCTGTGCACACTAGGTGGCAAGCTGGATCTCTGGTAGACTGGTAGGCTAATACGCTAAAATGGCAAGCTAAATCACTAAATGTCTGGTGAAGCAGGGCCCTGCCCAGGTAGATCTCTGGAAAAGGCGTTAGATGGTGTTAGTAAACAAGGCGTTAGATGGCAAACTAGGCCTCATGGTAACTGGATCTCTTGCGAAGTCGATCCCTGGTCTAGAGTCTAGTACGTCTTTGCTAAAATCAATCTCCTGTAAACTAGGCCGCTAGTGAAGTAATTAAACGTTTGTTTGGTCAAGTAGGTCTCTGCCAAACTAGACCGACCAGTGGCAAGTTTGTAGATGGTAAACTAAATCTCTGGTAAGCTATATGGGAAACCAGGTCGCAAAACACTTCAAGCATTGGGCAAAAACAGCTTATGAATTACTTCAGTGCACGTACACGACAAGTAACAACAGTGCAGGAGTTTAGGATAAACCATGGTAAGGATAGTTGAAGGTAGGTGCCCTACAATGTCTCCTGATCCCGCCATTAAACTCACACCCCATGTGCCGCGCCACATGTACAATGACAAGAGCCGACCCTTGGCAATCAAAGCGCACGCCTCCGGCCGCGTGCTTGCTCCGCCTGACGTCGATGAGTCGAGGGGCACAGCCTCGTCTGCACAGCATTTAATGTAGAATCTTGATTGATGTGTGCACTCCACCATTTGGATGATAAAACCTCTTCATATGGGGCGTTCGGTTAATAGATGTTAATAGAACATCCACACACGATCCACTTCAGCTTCCCTTGGCTGAATAGAGTTGACGGTGCCTACACACCAAATCTTACCAGCAAGTAGATCATAGTCCTTGCTTCGGGTGCAATTAGGACTAGCAGTCCTCCGAGGAAACATTGTCGCATAAAAATGGGAAGACCCTTTACAATGCTTATTAGAGGGAGAATCCATATATGTACAGTATCAGAATAAAGGTATTGTTCAAAAGAACCACTGCAAACTTGCAAGAACACGGCCCGTTCTCCATCCGGACTCCATCCATTCTAATTACTTGCATCTGCACATGACAGGCCATGAAGCATCTTAAAAGCATCGCCACCTTCGAAAGTCCACGCCGTACCAATCCGCCGTCCACATGTCCCACCACCCAAGCTGACACTGCCCACCTTGCAATGCAGCCACAGCCCGAAGATACTCCTGCAACATTGCTAAGGCCAGCCCTGGCATCGCCAGCGATCCCCGGGATTGGAATTGAGGAAGCCGCCGGGGATCGGGCCGGAAGAGAAACCACTCAGCTGGGGGTAAAGGCAATGCATGTGAGGAAACATGCCTTGCACGCCGGGGCGTGAAAGGATAGACTACTTAAAATATGGTGCCTTTCTGCAGGGTGGCTGCGCGCCCACAGCCCAGTGCTATCTTCCTTCGTTGGGAACTTCCGTCATCCATCCTGGTCTATCAGGTTCATCTTTCCCATAGATCAAGAATTCACGTCAAAACAAGAACACCTTCAGACTGTACATCTCCTTCAATAATTCACTCAAAAAATAAGCATGATTCATGATCGTCTGAAGTCTGAAGTGTGTCTTTTTCAAGCTTGCCTGGTTGTCTTTGGTATCTTCATGTATCTTCATGTATCCTCCCACTCAACCTACTTCGCATGAATTCACCTGCTACCTACTCTGCAGCATGGTCTGCCCCTATCCTCTCAGCGCCTTTGCGTCGATGTGCCTCTTTCACCACCACCGAGTGAATGCAAAGAAGGCGCCCTCAGCCGAGCCATTTGACTGTGGCTGAGATCGGCCCCAGAAAAAAACCGGGAACCATTTGACATCATCCTACGAACCATCACGAAGCAACCAGGGAGGACAGCCATCCACTTGTCGGGCTCCTCTTAGGTGTCGGGCTAAGGAATCACATTAGATCACCAAATGCCTTGACACCCAATCCTGGCCTCCAGGCTGATGAGTCTCCATGGCCTCTTCCGTCAAGGTAGTGCCATTGATGCAAGTGCCATTCACAAAGCCCAGCAAGCTGGAGCTCTTGGAATCCTCATGCGGCCGAAGAGTTCCACGTGAAACTGTTCGGCTCGAGCTGTTCGTCAGAGCGTGAGACCCGCCACGCAAGTGTGCCAAACGTCGGAGGGTCGAACCTGAGACCTTGTGAGTCGAGTGACCCTTCCAACCGTGATGCGTGGACAAAAACATCCCCAGCGATGAATCCACGCGTGATCACGCGTGTGACGCCGTGCATCCATCAGTGCCCAAAAGAAGTCCCCCGCCACGCGCTGCCGCTGTGCCATACTCTCTGGGGAGGCCGCCTCAAAAAGGCGGTGTCAACGCTGTTTCTTGGTCTGAACGGTTGTGCGAAGTGATTGCTCCAATCATCCAGTCAAGCTGGCCCGTGTCATGCAGATTCTGTGGGAAGGGAGGGTTGAGAAGGTGCAAATATGCAGGTGTTTGATGTCTACAGGAATTCTTTGTGCTCATGACTTCACAGAGCAGCGAGCGCTGGTGGCATTGGTGAACAGCAAAGGTCCTCGCTAATTCACCTCTGCTAGTTGGATGACCATGTCCCCATGAAAAACATAAAGTCTATGATCATATGCTGGCTGAACTATACCTAAACACTAGTGGTGTTTCTTACCATCCCGGCAAGGTCAATGACCTGAGACTTGACTGGCTCCTCGTGTCGGTTCTTGTAAGATCTGCAGCATGTCAAATTTGTCAACTTTGACCCTGATCCTTCAGCAGACGCAGCTGAACACCTGCCATCCCGTTCCAAACGGTACACCCTTGACCGAAGGCACCCTTCACAGCCATTGATCAACAAAGAGCGACTCAACAAATATCAATAAACCTGATACATGATGGATTGGTGTCATGATGATCGGACGTTGGATCATGATCGGACACCACCACACCATCTACTGGCCCCCTCCATTTCCCTGGACAATCAGGGCGGGGACTTGAATCCCCCCACAGCTGCACGGTCCACTGAGGTCGCCTCATCCTCGGGATATGAGGCCGCTTCCAGTTCGGCGCACTCCGGCAGCTGTGTCACCTCCACCCGGCGCAGCTCCAACTGGTGGCCACCCGGCAGCACCGGCAGGGGCCGTGCCATGGTGATCACACGCAGTCGAAGGTTTTCGGAACTGATTGTCTGGTATAGTCCTGGTGGGGTCTGGAGTGGGTAGCTATAGAATGGCTAAAAGGTAATAAGCTTCTAAATGTCTGAGTCAATCTGAATAGGAATCATGTAGCCTAATCCACGGGAATATGCATGAATTAAGTCAATGTTCCTGCAACAATAACCGTGCTGTGTGTTGCTGTAATTTCATCTGAATTGTTTGGAGATGTATTTCTATTTGACTACTTGGCGCTCGGACACGCTCCATAGGACCTTAATATATGAGTAACTTCCTGTGAAACAGCAAATGTCGTTTTCCAAAGGGTGAGTTTTTCATTGTGTTTTTTCTGGTTGGCTGGCTGCCCGTGTTGGTGGATTCCAATTTCATGTCATCTACAAAATCTGCAAAAAAACAAAGCTTCTCCCTTTGTACCGTAAACTAACTTGGAGACATGAGTGGCCCTACCAACCAATGGGATGCCTGCATAGCGACATAGATCAAAATTTATTGCAGAAAGCCGCCAGGCCTGTGGAACGAAAAAGCAAGGCTACGTACTTTCAATGTGAACACCCCAACGCTCGCAACATGGCTTTTGTTCAGACATTGTGTACTTTGGACTTAGGCAAGCTGAATGACAAAAGGACTAGGCCTATCACAAATCCATTCCCTTTCTCCCGAAAACAACGTTGGCATTCAGAGCAAATTTCCACGTACATCTTATATATATATAGTCATAGTCGCGGGGAATGCATGCCAACAAACAAATGCCACAGATTCCCCTGCCTTTCTGACGTCTGATCCTACCAGCTAGCACCAATCGATGAATGTTTGCACCGCATGACATAGTGATTACATAGTGAACAACATGTAATAGGCCAGCGCTTCAGGACAGTGGGGACGAAAGCGAGAGGTGTGGCAGGATCAAGGGGATGCGGAGGGAGGGCAGCAACGCAACGCTTTTGTGCCACGAGCGCAAAGTGTTGTTGGCTGAGTCAACCGAACACATATAAAAAAAAAACTCGACGTCGAATAGATTCTTTCAATTCACTTTACAGAGGGGGGGCCGCCCCCCCCTTAGACGTTTCAATCTGCAATTGAAATATCAATTCCTTTGTGAGGGGGGGTGGTTATTGAAAGAATCAATAAAAAGGGAGGGGTGAGACAAGGGGGGGGGCCCCCCTCCCTCGGCTGACCCCTCCCTTTAATTGAAAGAATCAATTTAGTTCACTGAACCTTTCAATTTTGAGCCTCGCCATATTTCGTAAACAACAACTTCCGCTGAGCTCCTTCTGAGCTCGCTTTCGTGAATATTCTAATTGCACACACTCACCCACTAACATGGAAATTGAAAATGAGCCTTTCAAAAACGACTTTCCTCTACAAAATACGCAGGGGCTTCCACTTTCATGTCAGTGAGTCCAAGAGTACCATGAGTTGTTCGCCGTTGGATGCAGGCTTCCAAGCCCGGCCGTTCCCGGTCAAACCCAATGGCACCGCCTTTTGCACGCACCTGCGCCGCCTGGCTCCACCCCTACGGCGCCGGACCCCCATGCCTCGGAGGGAAGTGGCCTGGACTTAGTGCAAATTGAATTAGTGCAGTTTTAGAGTTACCCAAATATCCCAAATTGCGATCCCCTTCCATGTTGCAGCATGGCGTGCAACCAGTGCAAACCGTGGCTCTTCTGTGCTTTTGAATGCAAGAACTTCCAGTGGATCAATCACCCCCTACAGTGGATCAATCACACCCTAGCTCAGACTCAATGGGGAAAATCCTGTCAGCACTTTTGTGAACTTCCTCCGTGACATGGTGCGCCATGTGGCGCGGTGGGCTGAGGCTGTTCTTAACTCTGTACAAGCCCGGCCCGAACCCCAATCGACAGGCCGAGCCGAACCAACCGCTGACGTCGCTGCCATGTTTTCAATGCACGTCGCAGCGCTTTGAGGGTCAAGCAGCGCATGTGTTGCACACGCGACGACGCCGCTGGACGTGACATGGTGACGCCGCTAAACCAGCCTGGTCCAGCGGTCAGGCTGGACCCTGCGGTTTTGGATAAAATCTGGACGCCCAGCAGCGAGGAAATGATTCCAGGCTTTAGTATTCGCAAGCAATTCTGACCCAGCAAAGCAGCAAACAATAGCCAAAGTCTTTTGATTGAAAGTTTTCACCATTTGAAGGTCCTTCCTTCTGACTCCATGACAACCTCAAATGGGGTCTATACTGTAGTTACTGTAGCGACTTTTGGCATTATCTCCCCATCCTTATGGGTGAACTATGGGCATTTGCGAGGTGGATTTGAACACGGCACAATGAACTTACAACCTGGATTGGGTCAACCAGACGTTGGTTTCACGAGCGTTTCTTGTCATTTGGACATGCTCTGAAGTCGATCTGTTCCATCCAGGGCCTGCACCAAATATCTAAAGTTATACTGATACTTATTAATATATAGGCATTGCAAATGCTGGTAGGTCGGTAAGTGCCCCGAGTCCCAAGGACCAATCCTTGGGTTCAAAAGACTTTTGCAAATACCAAAGCATTGGACGCATCTCACCAGATCTGCTTGGACACGGCGTCAAGATTGGAGCTCGGTGGATCAGGAGGTGTGGAAAGGTTCAACTTCAGGCGCTTCAGTGGTGGCGCAAAGATCGCAGACTTCCTGAGTGAAGGTGGCAGGTGCCTTTGTTATAGATTGGAGGCCTTCAAACTGAGGTTTGGTTGGAAAGGATTTTCATGTTCTTGTTTGTTGAGGTTCTATAATTTCTTTTGATGTCGTTTCTTCGATGGCTGGACTCCAGACCCCAAGAGCTCCACAAAAACATGGGCCTCCGCCCTCCATTGCCCACTAAAACACTTGCTATATTATATTGATGTACCACTCTAAAAGTATCCATGAACATGTCGCTACCCCCGGTGAATTCAGTTCAATCGAGACCGATTTGGCAGCTGCTTGTTCAGGCTGAAATTTCAACGAAAGAACCTAAGACCAGGACCGACCAAGTAAACCCAGCTCCACTTGCACACTTGACACGCCTCCAACAATAGACGAATGACCCTGACGCGTGACGGTCACAGTCCTCCTACGGGGCAACCGTAAAAGGCCATGCGGCGAACATTGCTGGGGGCCCCACCCACGTGAGCCAAACTCATCTTCTCAACCTGTACGGCTGAACTTATTGCTGTCCCACCTGCGGATTTATGTGAGCTCTACTAGTACATGGTGCTTTGCCCAGCGCCTGCCCCAATCTCCGCGAAGCTTCTCCATCTCCTTGGAGTCGCTGGCCTTGGAACCTTCTGCCTGCAGCTCCTGGCGTCGCATGAGGACAACAATAAGTCCAAAGTTTAAGAAATCAACTGTGGAAATACTTACCCACATGGTGGTTTCTGTGCAGTGGCGGTTTCTATGGCATTATGATATCGATTCGTGCATGGTTCGTGTCGATGCTTGGCGGGGTCCAACAAGGGGGCGCCATCGGGCGTCTGCCATCGGCCTGTAAGGCTTGAGGTGTTAGGACGGAGGCGCCCACACCGGTCTTCTCCTCCTCGAACAAGGCTGGGGGGCTGCGGTGCCGGTCGCGAGCTCGTCCATTACGTGAGAAAAAGGCCAAGATCAAGGGGATTCAGGGGGATTCTCTTGTTCATAAAATCGAAGACCTTGAACTGATGTGCTGCCTATGGCGAATCTGCGAAGCGTGCTGATTGGCCATTCCAACATTAATAAACAGTGGAACACAACCCCTTTCTCTCACCAACTGGGCCAGGCAAGAGCATTCAATGGAGTACGGTATTGCTTAATCAGATCTTCGTTTCTTTTGGAAACGAATCGGTCGCGAGATCTGGCCTGGCACCCGGGTGGCTGCGAAGTGGTCGGAGCTCCCGAGGTGGTTGGGGTGATGATTTGCACCGTTTTCAGCGGTTAATGGGTGTAGCGTATGGTCACACTGCAGGTGTCCAGCTCATGTGGGCACCACTTCTGAAGCTTCTCAGATATATACCTGATGCTCGTAACGTCTCAATCAGATTCACTGCCTGGTTACATGGTTGACACGGTCCAGTGTCCGAGGCTCAAAGGGCTGCGACATCTGCAGCAAGAAGTTCCCTGCCGCTTCCACCGCCAGATCTGAGGCCATGAAGACGTGGCCCGGCTCGAGGAAATGTCGGATCCTCAGTGGGCAGTGGGGAGAAGGTCGGTCCATCGTGTCATCCAAGTGTGTCGGTCCATGTTTGGCTTCACTTTGAGTCGGCGCCCCCGATTGACCATTTGAGTGGCAACCCGCCGTGGCATCCGCGAGACCACTCTAAAGGTACGGCAACCCAACTTGTGCTCCCAGAGTGGCCATGTCACCTTACCGATATCCATGCATGGGGACTGTGGCAAACAAAGGCTTCCCACTCCTCGATTGGAATCTACGCACTGTATCTCATGATAGGTGTCATCCAACAAAATAATCGACACTACCATGTTGTAAGCTGTCAAAGCACTCTTGGATTTAAGAATGATTCCGCTCTATCAGGTAGTATGCTTTAGCAGCTCAAACCATCCTTGTCTGAAATGGGGTTAGGTAGAGGCTGCACAAAAATGACGCCTGTGCCTGTATCGCAAGTATTAATGCTCAGTCGTGCTTAATAAGTGAACTCAATCTGCGTGGATGTGTTTTATCATCGGTGAAATGCACTGATCATCACTGATCAAACGAAAAAGAATGAAACATAATAATACATAATATTCCTTATAAGCGAGAGCCAAAGTTCACAGAACAAAGGAGAAAACATTGGACAAACATTTCTTTAAACCAATTATTTCCGATGTCTGATGCGACGAACACACAAGCGAGAACTAATTACCCAAATGTTCACAGCACAAAATTCAAGTAGACTTGGTCCATTGGCTTCTGATGGAACCAACACGTTCGTTTCATCTTGGCCGTCCCTCGCTCCGGGCCAGAATGCGAGCGTCTCGGCCACAAGGAACAACAAACATTATGAATCTATAGAACTATATTGATTGAGTAAAAGTATACACCAATATTGAATTATTGGAAACATAATACATAATTGAGTAAAATGAACATTGAGCCCACAACAGCCTCAATTCCTGACTACAAGAGCACGAGCAACCGCGAAAAAGGGGCACCTTTCCCTAGCCGCGGAATGGATCCACCTGGGGTCGTCCACCTATTTGAGCACACATCCGTCGCCCGTCGTGGCACCAATCTGGGATCTTCGAGCGCTTGTCGCTCCGTGCATAGCGCTGATCCGCGAAGATCATCACGCCATAGTCGCCTCAATCGGAGTCATAGGTATACACAGAGCGTGGGTAACCCGAAGACCTGAGAAAATACAAAGTGCACTCTGGGATTTCATAACTGCGTTGAACAACCAGTAGCTGTAGCTACACAATGCAGTCATCTCGATCACCTGGAGCAAACTTAGTAGCAAAATAGGTATGCTACTTACCCTGGTTAAACGTAGTACGCATTTTTGCCGGAGTTTTCTTTACAGTAGTAGTTGAAGATGAGGGTATACATTATATAATACTATGTATGCATATACTTCAGGCAAACACAAACTTATTATGCTTGTTAACCATGTTCAAAAAACGCTGCGGGTCAGCTGCGGATCGAATTACCAAGTCCAATTTTCATGGCAGGTGTGGGACGGTCAATTACCACACCGTTTTACTTATTTTAAGATAACAGGCTTCCCGGTGTCAAATTGACCACCCACACGGCCGCAGGTCTCCCAATGTAGGATTCTAGGGGGTAAGGGTTGACATGTGTGTGTTTCAACGTTTGTCTGGCCAGTGTCTTTGTTTGAATGGCAAGGACGTGCCAAGCGATACAGTATCTGGAACTGCTAGTTGATTTCATGCAGAGGTTGGATTGTTTATCCTGCTGACAGTATGGAATGGATATCTAAAATGGTATAGTCAGCACAACGGTATGCAAGTCAGTGACATAATACAAGGACATTGGGAAGGGTTTTGCATTAAACATATTTATAGTTTAAACATGGTAACACAATTTAAAACTATATAGTTAAACATTTGCTGAGCCACACTAAGCCAAGAAAGCAAGTCACAAAATGGCTATTAGCTCAAAAAACGATGTCTGTATGCAAAATTTCTTTGGAGTTTCTTGAGCTCTATGTTGATGAGTAAGTTCTTGCAGTGAGGAGAGACATTGTTATGAGAGTTGTGGGGGCACGCCCATGAGTATAGAGGGGATTGGTCTCCATGATTTTAGGCCTTCCAACCACGTGGCAGCTATAATATAAATTGGAAAACAATCACATCCAAGATGCCTACTGTAAAAGATTCTAAAAGCCTACAGTAGCTGTCGGCTTAATTAGTCAAAAGGAGTTCTCACCCGAAAGCCATCGAAAACCACCACAAATCCCAGCTGCAAAGTCTTTCGCTCCAACGTGTTCACGCGTTCCCGTTCGACACTGGGGGCGTCCTCCGAAACACTGGGGGACTCCGTCTCCGTCCCCGTCGAGGCGCGCTTGGATCGGATCACACGGCCGAGGCATTGGGAGGCCTGGCGCATGGCGTCGAAGTTGAGGAACTCCGATTCCTGCGCGATCCCAGCGAACTCGCCAGGACTGATGGGGATGGGATGGGGATGGGCAAGGTGGTAGGGCTCCGGGTGATGAGCGAATGGATTCTTCAAGGGTCTGGAGAGTGAGAGATGGACCTGGATGAGCTCATCTGATGTGTCCTAGATCCAGGGAAAAAACTGCGGAGGTTTTGGGGGGTGAATCTCTAAGTGGAGTGGGTCCAACAAACATATATCATCTAATATATCACATCAAATATCTGGGGGGTCAGTCTATTCTTTCCTGACAGCATCACCAAGCTCTAGGTCAACCTCTACTTGATCGCCATCATGCACCCCCATGGCATTGTCCGTGGCTTGACACAGTCCTTGATATCGTAGTGTTGGCGAAGGAACTCCAACCTGCAGGCGCGTCGCCATGGCATTTGGGGCCAACAGACCGGGTGGTGAAGGTTCCAGAACTCTGATTCGGTCTGATTGGACCCATGAACTCCGCGCCCGGGCAGGAGAAGCCTCACTTGAGAGGCTTGCCTTCCACAGGGGTTTCACCCGCAGAAAACTTTGAGTACCCAGAAGACGTCAACAGGCATGAAAGCTCAAAGGCACTTCGAGCCGGTCCCAGGTTGGTCAACGTGTCGTTCCGCATGTTGCAGGTCATGGCCGCCCATGGCCCGGACATAGTGTGGGACGTTGATCATCCGTGGGACGTAGTGAGTTGGAGAACCATGTTCCAGATGTTCCAGGGCATTAGTTGTGGCGAGGAGCCAACTAGGCACCCTGGAGCTACCACGGTGAAACTTCTGTGGGTCACACTGGAAGCTTTTAAGCAACTAAAGCTCCAAAAAGATGACTATGACTATGGAATGGCATGATCCAATATAAAAAGATCCATGCATATATCATGAATGATTCATCATTCCATGCCAGGTCGGCCTAGCAAAACCCCCCCAAAATGCACAGGGTCACATCCATCCACATCAGCAGTCTCCAGGTCGCTGTGCTCATCCCCCATCCCACACCATCCCGCACCTGGCACGAAGCTCACGAGATAAGGTGTATTGAAAGGGTACACCGAAGAGCACCACCTCACGGATTGAAGAAACCTTTGACGGCGTTTCTCACGGTTTAAAGACCCTCAATTCGAAAGAGTTTCCATGTTGTCCTTTCAGAGAACCTCACACTGCGTGATCTCCTTCGTCCTTTCTTTTTCGAGTCCCTGACCCGATATTGAGGTGGGGGGTCCGAAGCCCTCCGACACTTCGAGAGTGGATGAAGATCTGGCATCCAGGTGTGATCAATCAGGGCCGCAGCCTGGTTTTGAGGAAAAAAGGGCATTTCCAGAAGGCCCTCACCTGCCTGGTCAGGGGCCAGGCTTTGAGTTGTGTCCTCTCACCAGGTCTTGTTTGGTGTTGCGATCTCAGGGGGCTTGATGTACTCCCGTGCGTGCTCCGACCAGAGCCAAGAAGCACATCTCAGAAAGTAATCAACAAACCGACAAGTTTGAGTCAACTCCTAGACCGCTAAGCCATGGAGGTAACAAGAAGAAAACTTTAAAAAGTTTATGAACACCTAGTATAAGGAAACAAAAAGTGGCAACGTCTGATACAACAACGAACCACGCCCGTCTCCATCTCTCCGAAACGCGCAGCGCCCGTAGTGTCGATCAAAGTCAATGCCTTCGGCCACCTTGCGGACGAGGCAAGGAAAGGCAATGCCGAAGCGGCGCGCGTGGTGCCCCAAAAAGGATCCTTTGTAGGGCTGGGATGTTTCTTTTCAACCAACATAGTGGGCTGCATTTCGTTCGACATACCCATTGGTCGTCTTTATCTGAAGGGGGGGATCACCCCTTTTAGCCTCTTTTAGCCAACCATTCTTAAACAGGCCATTTGGTCCCAGGCACCCGGGTGGTCTTTGGTGGAATGGTTTGGATGTGCAACACATTGGGATTCACATTCTGCCTGTCCATTCGAGATTGGGATGGCAAATAGGGGCAGACGAGGGGTAGGTCCCGCCTGCTGCAAACCTCTCTCACCCGACCTCAAGCCATCGTCGTCGCTGCCTGCTCTGAAACGACAGTGAAACCGTGTAAACCATGGAGAGGAACCAAATAATGAATTTACTTTCCGGCAACTACATGATACGAGTAATTATATTCATGTTTTAAAGCTCGCCAACTCATAAAACCCCAAAGCACGTAGAATCAACTCCGGACATTCTCCAAACAAGCCTCAAACGCCCTGTGACTTCTCCTTCACCAACAGCGCCCCTTGACTTCTCCACCCGGCGCCTTCCCACGTGCCACTGAGAGGAACACAGCGCCCTGACCAGAGTCGCAGGCCTCCGATCTTCCAACCAGGGAGGAGGGACGACCCGAGGTGAACAACGACTCCCCCCCGTGGGGTGAAGAAACATGGCATGCAGAAACGACAAAAGCTGGGCAAATGCCCCAAGAAGATGGTTTCATGGATTTTTAAATCGATGGTGCGGAAATACAATGAAGCATTGCTTTTTAGTAGGGAAGGGGATGTCTATACTAGCAAGCAGTGTCTTCTCCTTCCTCAGGGAGGTCGAGGATGAGGGTTGGCTTCCAACATCGCAGTGGGCTTTGGTCCAGAAAGTTGGTCACGGACCCACCCAAGTTGGTCACAACACACCCGGTGGGTTGTGGCCGACAAAACACAAATAACACTGATAACTGTTGGACATCCAAAGCTCACACACACACATGCACGCATGGGAGTCTAAATTTAAACGGCTTCCGCACTTCTACAGAACCGCTGGTTACCATTTATCATGTTCATCTTCCCTCAGCTAAAATCATGATGTTCAACAATCATCCGGTCACAAAACCAATTAAACCAGATCAATATTACATATAAGCTATGAAGGAAAATGATAGGACATGTCAATGTCACTCACGATTACAATGACCTCCATCTCCATCTCTCCGACCACCTTGGATACCGTGCCAGCACCCTGGAAGCCTGTCGGTAAAGGTTCAGAGCATAGGTGGTGGCAACCACATCCTCGTGCGGCCAAACATTCAAGATGGAACTGATGGAACTGCCAAAGTCATAACTATCGATACCTGTCACATCAAGTTACGCACCACCGCGGAAATCAAACTTAATAACAACCAACTCCGATGGACCCTCTGTCTTGAGGCCTCGGTCTGACGTCGGGGGTCGCCGGCGACTCGGCGGGGAGCCGAAGCTCGCCAGCACGGACCCGACGGCGGGGTTGCCCGCCGGTGATCTGAGGGCGGTGCAGCAGTCTCGATGAACAAGAGCTTGTGCTTGAGGACTCGGGAAATCACACCTGGAGCGAGTCAACGAGTTATGACCCCAAAGAAAGGAGGCTGGGAGCCTATCCGCCCACAAATAAAAACTCATATAAATCCACTAACAAACACATATTGCGTCATCAAGCTGAAAATATTCAGACTCAAACCCTGCTCAAAATAATGCAAGAACAGCAAAGCCAGTTGAGTTGGTGACATGAAACCATAGGTGCACTCCATTTGGAGGGACCTCACTTGGACCACTAACCGGGGAGGGGTAAAGTTCACCTTCTTGATGTAACTTCTTTGTTCAGGACACATGTAATCCCGAGTACCTATTAAAAAACGGACCCCTATTAAAAAAAGTCATGCCGGATCCCCCTAAATTCGGTTTATATATGGTTTTAAATTACCGCCCTTTCAAAACGCTACTAAACTACCAACATGATCGATTTTGGGGGTAGTTTTTTTTAAATTAGGTTCCCCAAAACTCCCCCAAAATAGGTCCCAAGACAATACACCCTCAAAATCGACCATGTTGCGTTGCAGACTCTCCGCTGGCTCTCCTAGTAGCGATGCCAGGAGCCCCTAGTAGGGGCCTTGCTCCTAGTAGCGATGCTAGGAGTCCCTAGTAGCGTCCTTGCTCCTAGCAATAGCTAACTCTAACTGTCTGGCTGTCCCTGACTCTCCACTCCCTCCCTCCACTGGCTGCCACGAAATCTGCACTTCAAGGTCAACAAAGTACTACACCTGCCACGAAATCTGCACTTCAAGGCCAACAAAGTACTGCGCGCGCCGCAAATTCTGCACTTCAAGGTCCATAAAGTGCTGCGCCTGCCACGAAATCTGCACTTCAAGGTCAACAGAATACTGCACCTGCCACGCAATCCGCATTTCAAACTCCACAAAGTACTGCACCTGCCACGAATTCTGCACTTCAAGGTCCACAAAATATTGCACATCCACTGACCCTATTTTGGGCCCCCGATTTCAGGGACCCCCTATTAGAAAAAATGTGACCGAGGTTTCCTTATTAGGGGGGGGGGGGCGTGTTTTCTATTAGGTGGACCGGATTAGTTGTCCCGTTTCTTGTGGTCTTGACTCACTTTCATCGATCGAGACTCCTCACCCCGACTGGTTGAGACAAACTGTTTTCTTTCCTACCCGTGTGCCTGTCTCATACCACTTCTCGAGGACTTGCTCCAAGTAGCGGTAGGAGGTAAAGAAGCACACCTTGGATAATGAACAAATGATCATCCATGGGTGAAAAGTGTGCGCAGGAAAGCCGCGAACAGCCTTGAATATCGTCAAACGGCCGGTGCACCTTCCAAGAAGAGCGCGTATGGCGAACCTCTGCGTTTTGGACTTGGGCAACACGAGTGATGCGTCACTGGGGCACTAGGCCGAGCGTGACAGAACTAGGTTGATGTACAGCCCATGCCGATGACCTCCGAGTGCCAACTCCCAAACACGACAAACATGGAGTTTTTACATAGTGGTTTTTAACAATTCCCAACACGGGGATCTTCCAATAGGCTCTTTTCAGGTGCGACCTTGAACTTGAGGCCAGGGGGAGGAGGTCGAAAGCTAGCCGAATCGCACCGGATGTACTAGTCACATAGTCGGCAAAGCATGTAGTGAGTACATGTTCTGGGAGGAAGGTTGCTATGTACATACTTTGCGCTAAAGAATGTAAATGTGACATCGCTGACTGGGACTGGGAAGGGTACATTGGAACAACCCGGGTGCACTCGTTGGCAGGCACGAAGATGCGTGATCGGCAAATCTGGGGGGTAAATTTACCCTCCGCTTTTGTATGCCTTGAGGGATAAGCATTTCTGACATCATACGGACTGTACATACACTAGGGCGTCCGTAGTGTAGGAGAAGCGCGGGTAAAAGGTATGGAATAGAGTGTCTTGAGGAAATAGCCGTCTTATGGTTATTGCAAATCTGGGGGGTAAATTTACCACCCGCTTATGTATGCCTTGTGCCGGAAAGAGGAGTAAGCATTTCTGGCATCACAAGGACTGTGCAAACACCAGGGCGTCCGTAGTGTAGGACAAGCACTGGTAAAAGGTATAAGGAGCAGAGTGTCTTGAGGAAATAACCGGCTTATGGTTATGGCAAATCTGGGGGGTAAATTTACCCCCCGCTTATGTATGCCTTGAGCCGGAACGAGGGGTAAGCATCACAAGGACTGTGCATACACTAGGGCGTCCGTAGTGCAGGATAATTACTGGTAAAAAGGATGTAAAAGGTATCAGGAATAGAGTGTCTTGAGGAAATAGCCTGTGTATGGTTATAGCAAGCCTTGGGAGTAAATTTACCACCCGCTTATGCATGCACTAGGTTAGAAATAGGGTAAACAACTTGTAAGGGTGAAGTACAAGTCCTATGCAGCAAGCAGCAGCCAGCAGCAGCAGCAGCAGCAGCAGAAGCAGCCGCCTGCAGCCAGCAGCCAGCAGCAACCGCCAAGCAGCCAGCCAGCAGCACCACGCAGCAGCAGCGCAGCACCAAGCCGCAGCAGCAGCAGCAGCACCACCGGCAGCAAGCAGCAAGCAGCAGCAGCAGCGGCGTCGTCAGCAACAGCAGCAGCAGCACCAAGCCGCAACAAGTAGCAAAGCATGAACTACCTCAAATGATCTCAAGTATACACGCAACTCATTATCATTATACCTATCAGTTTGTTAACTTCTGCATTGAATGAGCCACTCGAACCAGCAAAACGACGCCAACCCTGGACGGAGGCTGAAGGAACGACGTAGCATGGAGGTGAAATGGAGCGTGCTCACCGTATGCAAACAATTGCACAAACATATGCACACCTTGCCGCTGTCTGAACACCAGCAGAGCTATCACGCAATTCATTCAGTGGAATGGTGGTATGCACCACAACAATAAGCGAAGCGGCGCAGCTGGGAGTGGAACCGCGGGGGGGGGGGGTTAGCTTGATATATCAATCTTTAAGGCACGCAGCCCCTCCCACCGCAACATTGCTAAAGCAAAGAAAAACTCAGCTAGCATGCTAGCTTTCGTGACTTGCAGCACCGCCGCTTTCACGGCCCCCCTCCAAGCATCAACGATGTCCCCGCAGCCGGGCAGCGATTTTTCTCCAAGGCGGAATCAATGGCATTGTCACGTTGGTCAGGGCCCACCGGAGGCTGACATGGACGTGGGTTAGTGGGTTCGATATACAGGGTTCTGGTGTTGGTTTGGATCCAACTTTCCAAAATGGATGCCGATGGCAGTGTGAGTGTGGGAGCCAGCAACCTACACAACGGTACATGAACCCTATGGTGCTTCACGAGGCCTAAGAGCAATCTGGAAAATGTTTGAACATGCCTTTGCACTGAACATGGGAAACATGGGGGGTATATAAATGTTTGTCTGCCTTCACCATTTTCCGTCTGAGATTAAAGAAACACAAGACACCTTGAAACCATCAGCCCTGAAGAATTAGGAAGGGAGTGATGGGAGTGTAACACCTGTGCCTGAGCTAGGCTCTACATATATGACTCTGTTATAACCATCACAAGTGGCGACAAGTGGTTTGACTGTGACCCTTTGGTGGTACAAGCTGGCATGACAGCGCACCTGGCAAACCCTGAAACCGCCGGAATCGTTCGACACCGGAGATCAGGTGTAGGTCACGGGCCGGGCCGCGCCGCCCGGCCCCATGTGCAGTGCGGCCATCTCTTCTCGACTCAGGACGCCATCGTTGTTGGTGTCCTCAGGGCAAAGATCCAAACCCAAAGACCAAAGACCTGGAGCACAATGAGGGTTGCTTTTTGGATTGCAAGTGTGCTTCATTGTGCTTGTAGAATCGATATAGGCACTCCTTCACATGGCTGCTCTGCTGTGAACCATCTGATCGTCCCATATCATGGTCTTGGACAGTTTATGGGCAAGTTTGGGTGTGTTGAGTCGACTGAAGCGTCGCAACTATATAACTGGAAACAACCTGCTTGCCACACCACATTTGCTCCGAAGCATCAACCAAACCTCCTGTTTGGATACATTCTCCACTTGGAAGTGATGGCATCTGAAGCTTTCCTCTCCCAGAACAATGACAAATAATGACAAAAATCGAACAAAGAAACGGGCCCATTCGCAGGGACAGTCGAGATGGTTGGCAACATTTCTCTCCCAAAAGCATCAAATAATCTACAGTATATAGTGAACATGTTCTTCCAACCGTTGGTTCGTCTCAACACTCGACCTTCCAAACTCTTCAAAAAATCAGCGGTGGGGTGGGGTGGAAATGGCTTGAGACGGGTTTGAGACCAGTTCACATCAGTTCACTCACCATCCATAGCCATTCCAACTTCCGCTTCCCAGTGTCCAGGGCCGAGAACAAGTCCGGCCGTGCACCCACCGCCGAGGCCACCGTGACGGGTGCAGCTGTCGCCATGCGCGGGGCGGGCGCGTAGGTGACGCCACCTTGACCTGAGACCGAACGCCCTGAGCGATCTGACACAAGGCAGGGAATGAGCAGAACTGACTTGAACAAGAGGAGGTGGCCAAAGCAATCTCCATCAATCTCCCAACCCCAAACAAGAAAAAGCCTACTTTGTGCCTTCCATCGCTTCCAGCAGCAAGTCACGCATCGTTGCGGGTGTGGTTCCGGTGCGCTCTTGGGAAGATCTGACTGCATGAAGTGAGTTTTATAAATAGTTTGTAGATAATATATATGTTTATAAATGTATATACATAAGATATACAACAATTTGGCTTGTTGCTGTCCCACCGAAAATCTAGCTTGTTGAAATAAACACACCATTTGGATTCTAAAACCTCTTCATTTGGTGGGGTGCTGTTCAACAACAAATCTACAGTCAGCAGTCAACCAACATGTGTTTAGGAGCCCGGCTTTTAGCGAACCATTGATGAAGACCCAAGTGCCGCGCCTGGCACAGCACCCGGCCGCATGTGCAGTGCGGCCATCTCTTCTCGACTCAGGACGCCGTCGTTGTTGGTGTCCTCAGGGCAAAGATCCAAACCCAAAGACCAAAGACCTGGAGCACAATGAGATACAATGAGGGTTGCTTTTTGGATTGCAAGTGTGCTTCATTGTGCTTGTAGAATCGATATAGGCACTCCCTTGCAGTCAAGAGCCCCTTTCAAGGTTCAAAAAGCCCTCACATGGCTGCTCTGCTGTGAAGCATCTGATTGTCCCATATCATATCAGGGTCATTGGCAAGTTTACGGGCAAGCTTGGGTGTGTTGAAATAGGGCACGTGATTGAAGCGTTGAAACTAAATGGATGGGCATTCTTGTCAAACAACCTGGTTGCCAAACCACACTGGCCCCTCAGTGGGTCTGGAGACGTGCAAGTGTCGGACCTGAACCGGAAGCAACACGAATCCAAACCAGCTGCAGTAATATAATCTCAGCTGAAAGTCGGTTCATCTTTCAACTTTGAACACTCGACCTTCCAAACTCTTCAAAAGATCAGCGGTGGGGTGGGG